CTCTAATAGTGATATACCATGCCGGACCTGGACTAGTTCAAAGTCGCATCTTGAGGTGACCACATTTTACTTACAAGGTCATTAAAGGTCAATGATCCCATGCAATTTTATTTCCAAGGTCATCAATGTTAAATCGCCTCATTTTTAAGAACATTTTATGCGGTTTGGTAGCTGCAACGAACAGTAATAGTAAATGACGGTAGCCAGGCGTCCCGAATGAGCTCCGATTAACACTCTAGTCTAATCAAGATATACCATTCCTGCCAGAGGATTGGAGACCTTCGACCTTCCAGATAAGCTGGTATCATTCATTATCATCCATTTTATTTCACTAATACGTTCATAGATAATTATAGACAACTAATCGTTCATGATCAGGTTACGTATTTCACCCAACTATGATGTACCAACTGCTAATTCATAGATACTGTAATTGTAATATAACTAGCATAGTTCCCTGAATGATCATTCAGTTTAAGGAGGCTGGGTACCTATAATTTAATTAATAACGTCCCAATAGCTATATGTCTACATGCCTTCCTAATAAACTGAATTGTAATTTATATTATTATCGTTTAGTGCCGGCGCGCTTGATTTATCTGTCGATCAGCGCGTACAATTAAGACAGATTGGCGCCCAAAAAATTTCATCATCATCTTCAACCCACGTCCCAAGCTCCCGCAGGAATTGAGCCACCTAACCGTGGCAAATTATGCCAAAAGTTCACGGCACAACAGATAGGAGCGTTGGGTCAGGGACGGACTGGGTTCTGTAGGAAGCAGACCTAGACGGAACTACGCCATTATTATTATTCTGTCAGAGTGGCCATTGAACCTCCAAAGTTGGTTCTGTAAACCGCAGGTCAATTCAACCCCTAATACCAGTCCGCGTTTCCGTGGCCAATTGGTTATCCCTGTCTCACTACAGTACTTGCTCGCAAAGGGAAAATGCAATATTGCGGAGAATTTCGGCAAGGACACAAAAATGTATGCCGTCGGCTAGCTCAATTTTACAGAAAATTTCATTTCCTTAGGAGAATGGAATTTGTCTTTAAATTTAATCTGTCGCTCTTCTACTCCAAATTTGAAATATTTACATGTAATTAAACATGATCAATCAAATATTCGCCGTCCTCTACAGCACTCCACATTAATAGGAAAAAATTTCGTGTGGCTAGCACAGATACGACCCGCACACCTGCGCTTACGCGATTCTGTCCCTTTATGCCTCAGAATATGTGTACCAAATTTGGTTCCAGTCGGTCGTGTTCCAATCAAAGCGTATAGTTCCAAAAAAAAACTGGAGGGTCATTTTTTACCCCAATGCAATACCTCCCTTACTAACATGCGGGTGGTAAAAATCAATGTAAGATTGAAAAAATCAGTGTAAAGTTGTAGGAGATTAATGTAGACACTGAACTGTCTGAATTTTTAAGGGTTTTTTCTTTGCTATTTGATTGGGACTAATAAAAATTTTAAAATTTAAAGTCCTGCAGAAAGTTTGGTCTCGTGATTGGACTGATGTATCCGACGGCGGTAGATGTTAATGTTGTTAAAATATGTCGATATAAGTGGT